GTGGCACATGCCTATAGTCCCAGCTACTCGGGAGACTGAGGCAGAAGGATCACTTGAGCCCAGGAGTTTGAGGTTGCTGTGAGCTAGGCTGATGTCACAGCACTCTAGCCCGGGCAAAAAGAGTGAGACTCTGTCACAAAAAACAAAAAAAAATTGATAAAGTGAAATATTCATCCTCCCCCAAAGTTTATTTCTTTATTCCAGAAGACATCATAAGCAAAGTAAATATACCAAGACAACCTGGAGGAAACTATTGTCATCATATATGATAGCAGATTCTATCCTCTCTTTAAAACCTTTTTCCTTTTAACTCAATGTTCTCTGTCTGTGAAATTCTGTGGTACTTTGCACATAATTCTTTTATCCATGTAACTGTAATTCAAAACCTAACATACAGTCTAGGTAATTGTTTTTTTATCCCTCTAATTAGAGGTTTTTCAACTTTGGTGCACTGTTGACATTTTGGCCTGGATAATTCTTTGTTATAGGGAGATGCCCCATGCATTGTTGGATGTTTAGCAGCATCTCTGGCCTCTGGACGCCAGTAACAGCTCCCAGCACTGACATTAAAACATCTCCAAACATTGCAGAGTGTCCCCTGAGACAACATCTTCCCTGGTTGAAAACCACTGTTCTGACTATATGTTAAGGCTCTTTGGAGCAGAAACTGTCCTAGTCATCTTTGATCAACTTTAAGACCTACTCAGTGCTTTACATACAGTAACAATTCAATAAATATTTGTTTACTATAAAGGAACAAATTATGATTCTTCTCAAAATCAATTTTCTTAACCAAAAGTATTTCATTACAATAAAAATATATATCACATTAAGAATATTTTCTGTATCAGTATCTCACTTATGTAAAAACGTATTGCATATAAAATTCAACCATGCATAGAATAGTTTCTGAAAAGCCAATCTAGGGACATTTTATTTATTTTGAAGTTGGTGTAATTTTGTATGCTTTATTACTATTTCAAGTCCTTTTTGCATATTCTTGGTGTTGGCTAGGTTTTTAAAAAAATTAATAGCCTTTATTTTTTGAGCAGTTTTAGGTTTGCAGAAAAATTGAGCAGAAAGTACAGAGAACGCCACTAAACTCCATCTCTACTTCCCCTCCCTGCTCTCCTTGTTATTAACATCTTGCACTACTGCGGTACATTTGTTACAGGTGATGAGCCAATAGTTATACATTATTATTAATTAAAGTCCATAGTTTACATTAGGGTTCACTCTTTGTATTGTACATTTTGTGGATTTTGACAAATGTATAACGACCTGTAACAACCATTACAGTATCAGACAGACTAGTTTCACTGGTGCTCTGCCTGCGCGTTCCTCCCTCCCACCCTCTGAATCCCTGGCAATTACTAATCTGTTTATTGTCTCCAGTTTTGTCTTTTCCACATGTTATATCATTGGAATTATAGTATGTAACCTTTGCAGATTGCCTTCTTTCACTTAGCAAGATGCATTTAAGTTTCCCCAGTCTTAGTGTTGGCAACTAGATTTTGAACTCAATTCAGAATTACAGCTTCTATTTCTTAGACACTTTTGACTCATAGAAAAGTGTGCTGTAATAATTGGACATCCATATACAAACCACACATCACACCATATATAAAAATTAAGTCAAAGTGGATTACGGATCTACCAACATGTAAAACTGAAAACTATAAAACTTCCTGAAGAAATTATATTAACAGAAGAAAAATTTTTTGGCCTTGGATTAGGCAAAGACTTTTTAGATATGATACAAAAACACATTCCATAAAATTTTTATAAATGATAAGTTTAGAACTTCTGCTCCTCAAAAGACATTTAAAAGGGCAAGCCATAGAGGAGAAAATATTAGCACAACACCTACCTGATAAGGGACTCGTATCCCGAATACTTTCAAAACTCAATAATAAGAAAACAACCAGCAAAAATTGAACAAAAATTTGGACATTTCACTGGAGAACACATGGGGATGGCAATAAGTACATGAAAAGATGGTCAACATTATTAGTCATTAGGAAAATCCATATTAAAATCACAATGAGATACCCCAACCATTTAGAATGGCTTTAAAAAAACCACCTCAGGCCAGGTGTGGTGGCTCCGGCCTGTAGTCCCAGCTACTGTGAAGGCTCAGGCAGGAGGATCGCTTGAGCCCAGGAGTTCTAGGCTGCAGTGAGCTGTGATCATGACACTGTACTCCAGCCTGGGTGACAGAGTGAAAGCATGTCTTAAAAAACAAAGAAAAACAAAAAACACCTCACAATATTATGTTAATACTCTTATGAAAGACAGAACTGGAGTAATACAAGAGTATTGACATAATAATCAACTACCGAATGTACAGCCAGAGAGAGTCCATGCTTTAGAGAAACAGGAAAAGAAATTTAGTCTCCCTGCAGTGATTTTTAGGCATTTTAAAACTAGTCCTAAAATTTAGGTTTTTTTAAAATAAGTGGCTTGCAATTTAAAGGACATAATTTCTTTTCAGTCAGCTGTTGAGTAATTTTGTGAGCCAGTCACACTGGGCCGCAGTGGAGGCAGTCTGACCCTGTATTCTGCTGCTAGGGCACCAACTCTCCTTTATTTATCCAGCTAAAAGGGTGTCCTCTTTGCTGATACCGAAGAAAAATGCAGGTCTTAGAATGCTAGGCTGCACATACTCCTGTATAAGCTGAAAGAAGTTTTCTTGGAATGAAGACACCAATTATAAATGTTCTTCCATTTTTTCATCTTTTTTGCATTTTTTTGAGACAGTGTCTCACTGTTTGGCCCAGGCTAGAGTGCAGTTGGCGTCATCATAGCTCACCGCAACCTCAAACTCCTGGACTCAAGCAATCCTCCTGCTTCAGCCTCCCGAGTAGCTGGGACTACAAGCATGTACCACCACACCTGGCTAGTTTACTTTTTTAAGAGATGGGGTCTTGCTGTATTGCCCAGGCTGGTCCCAAACTTCTTACCTCAAGCAATCCTCCTACCTCAGCCTCCCACAGTGCTAGGATTACAGGTGTGAGCCACAGCACCCAGCTGGTTTCTTCATCGTTAATATGAAGATGATAATACCCACTTCGGTGAGCGGTGAGGTTTAGAGATAATCATGTAAATTGATTAGAAATGTGTCTGGTACAAAGTTAGTACTCAATGCATATTAGCCATTATTATCTAATCCATAATGTGCCAGAAGTGTTCAGGCATCTGGTAAAATCTAATTACCATATCAGAAAAAATTCATGGGAAAATTTATTCAGTACTTTGAACTAGAATGCTAGGAATATACTTGCTCTCACCTCCTTTCTCTGCCTGAACTTGAGTTAGAAGAGACTCAGAGAAATGATGGCTCTTTTAGTTCCCAGGCACTGGTGGGTACCAAAGGCAAATAGGAAAGGAGACCAGTAGGTCAAGGTGAGGGCAGGGAGACCACAGACAGGAAGGAGGACTGGGAGGAAGGGCAAGCCTAAAGGCAGGGGCCAAAGGATTATGGATTAGGGGATCAGGGATTTGTGGGGTCAGAGCTTTGTTGGGACCTTCTCTTGGTCCAAGGCCATTTACCCAGTTATCTTCCCTTTTTATTCACTGCTAGTATCAGTGTTTCCCTGTTCTGCAAAAAGCAACTCCTTTGGAAGTTTTCTCAGTCATTTAATGCTACCTAACTTTGGAGAACTCAGATATGGAAATGTCTCTTCCTCTTGTTTTTCTAATTAGATTCTCCCTGCTTTTAGTGGGTTAGGGAGGGAGGATGCTAAAGAGCATAGAAAATATGATATTATAAATAATTTTCTGAAATATTATTTGTAATCCTTAACTTCAACACACTCTGAAATTTTGCAAAAAAGGAGGCATATTTTTAAACTAGTGCACATATAAAATAGTATATAGCTGTGTATTGCAATTGTAGAATCTCTTGCACTATTAATTAAACTATCAGAAATCAATAATGCTTTTAAGCCCTAGATCCTAAAATTTGCAAATAATTTGTAGAATAATTCTTATCCTTGAATTTAAAATTCAAGCCCAGTGATTCTCCAAGTTCTATCTAAAATTAATTCATATGAAAACTGTATTCCAATGCTAAATTGTATACAGGTATAAGTTTATATGTTCATTTCATTTATGAAATCACAAAAGCTGTGATGGGAGTAATCATTTGAAACGGAAAATTGGAATGATTATTTTAAATGTTTTAGGAAAACCTTCTATAGCAAGACCTTAAAATGTCCTACCTGCCCACTTTAAGATTCTTCTTGAAATGTTCTTTTTTAGCTGTGCGATGGAGGATCGGTGACTGATCTCGTGAAAGGATTTCTGAAGAGGGGGGAGAGAATGAGTGAGCCTCTAATTGCCTATATTTTACATGAAGCACTAATGGTAAGGCAATTTAAATTGTTGATGCATTAATTATGAGGCAATTCTAGTTAAATAAAAAA